TGGGGCCGTTGCAGCATGGGGCACGATCCCACGGGACTGGCTACCACTCCAAAAGCATTCACATGTGGGCTGCTCTGCCCCCACCTCCACTCACAGTCGATCTGGCCACTGAGTGAGGATCTGGGTCTTGGATCACTGCCACTGGGGAGGCAGAGGAGGCCACTTCCCTAGTCCAACTGCTTCAGGGATCCAGTCCAGCCACCTTCAGATGTATAGCTGTGTAGATCTCTCAGATGTCCTGTTGTGCTGTGCAGGGAATCCTCTGTTGGTTAATGAATGTCCGTTTAGTTGTAACTTAGAGGGGAGAGACAAAGGGAACAACTCAGTCCACCATGATGCTGATGTCACCTCAAGGACAAATCAAAAGTATTTAAAAAATATTTTTAAAATCAAATGGCAATAAAATATTACATAGGAAAACTGATGAGATACAGTGAAAGAGAAACTTAGAGGAAAATTTGTGACCCAAAGCCTTGTGTTATGGAAAAGGAGGGTGAAAATAAGTGAGCTAATAATTGAATATTAGAAAAAATAGTAAAATAAACCCAAAAAAGTGAAAGGGAGGAAAGCTTAGAGAAAGAACAAATAAATTAAATAGAAAACAAAATTCAATCGGGAGCAATAACCAAGTCAAAGCTTATTTGAAAAGATTACTAACACAGATAATACTGTAATGGAATGATGAGAAAGCAATACACTGCTTCCCAAACTTCTTTTAAATTATAAACTCCCCCAAGAGCTGTTTAAACACTTTTTTCCTTATAGCCCACCATGAAATTCTAATAGCACAGATTTACTCGATATCTCCTTGTGTACCATGTTTCATACTGAAATACAGTAAGTCTCATTTTCACTCTTGGCAATATCCCCCCTGTTGTGAATGCATAGAATAAGAAAAGACACAATTAAGTGATAATAGGAATTAAAAGAAGATATAACTACAGAGAGAACAGAAATATAAAAATCAAACATATTCTGAACAACTTTATACCAAAATATAGGAATAAATGTCCAAATTCCTAGAAAAATATTTTACCTAAAATGACTGATAAATGAAATAGAAGCACTAAATAATCCAGTATGTTAATCTGCTCAAGCTGCCATAACAAAGAACCACAGGCTGGGGGGCTTCAACAACAGAAATTTATTTTCTCACAGTTCTGGAGGCTGGAAGTCCAAGATCAAGGTGTCAGCATGGTTGCTTTCTGACGAGACCGCTCTTCCTGGATTGCAGACAGCTGCCTTCTTGCTGCGTCCTCACATGGCCTTTCCTCTGTGCCTGCATGGCAAAACAGCTCTTGTGTCTCTTTCTCTTCTTATAAGGACACCAGTCCTATGGGATTAGGGCCCCACCCTTATGACCTCATTTAACCTTAATCACCTCCTTAAAGGCTGTATCACCTCCTTAAAGGCCATATCTCCATAAACAGTCACATTACAGGTTAGGGCTTCAAAATATGAATGGGGCGTGGGGGGGGGTGCATGTGGGAGGGGGTGGGGCACACAATTCACTCCATAACATTCAGTAAATATTAAATAAATTGTAGGAGTGATTTAATGACTTCCCACAAAGAAAACATCAGGCACAGATGATATCATACCAAATAGTCAAGGAGCAGATTATCAGGGTCATGTTCAGAGTCTCTCCAAGGAGAAAGAAAGTGAACACACCCAAGCGCATTTTATGAGGCTATTATTACCTAATATCAAAACCAGATGAGGACAGCACAAAAATAGGAAATTACAGGCCAGCCTCCCTCATGATTGTAGGTAAAAGCAATATTCTGAACTAACAGTAAACTCAATCCAGCAGTGTTTACAAAAATTAAAGAAATGGCCAAGTTGGGTTTATTTATAACATGTTAAAATTGGTTTTACATGCCTTAATGTAATTAACCATATTAGATTACTAGAGAGAAATAGATATATTTATCACAAAATGCACAGAATAAGAGTTTAGGTAAAATTCAACACTACTTCATGATTTTTGCAAACCAAGAATGGTAATGAAACTTCCTAATCTGATAAAGGATTTCTACCAAAAGCCTTCAATAATATCAGTCTTAATGGTGATATGCTAGAAGAATTCTCTTTAAAATCAAGAACGCCTCCATCACAGCTTCTGGTCGACAGGTCATTGGAGAACCAGTCAGCACAATGTTTTTCGGTTTTGTTTTTAATTTTACATAGAAACACAAACAACTCTGAAGATATAATTTTAGAATAAGAGAGTTTAGCAAGTTGGGTTAATACATCAATAAATAAATACATTGTTTCATGACAGCAGTAAACAGTTTAAAAACTTTATTTTTAAAATGCCATTTACTATAGCAACAAAAATATAGGGTATTTAGGGAAGGCACTTGGCAAAAGAGGTCAAGATCTTCATAGGGAAATTTATATGAAAAGGGCTAAATCAGTGAAGACTTTGCCATGTTCACTGACAGGAGGAGTCCAGATTGCAGATATCAAATCCCTGCAAATGTATCTATATATTTAATGTTGTAATCAAATATTAAGAGGGTTTTGGGGGAGCGGAATCTTGATGAGCTGATTCTAAAATTTACATGAAAGAGCAAATGGCCAACAATTAGCATACAAAAAACCAGGTGAGTGATTCACCCTTCCCCATCAAGGTTTGCTGTAGAACTCAGTGGTTGTTAGCTTAGGTATTCCATACCCTATGTTTCAGATTCTGCTGGGCTATCTTCTGGTGACAACACCGCCCCAACTGGATCAGCTTAAAAGCACAAACTGTTTTTCCCACTCATATGTCTCACTGTCCCACATGCACATCTCCATCCCAGGTTCCCAAGAGGGTACTGCACATCGTAGTTGCTCAGGTAGGTACCAGGCTGTTGGGTCCACCTGAATCATACCTAGATTCTTAAAGATTCTGTCCAGAAGTGGCACATGTAACTTCTATTAACTTTTCACTGGTGGAATCAAGTCCAAGCTTGCCATGAATGTGGCAAGGAAGCACAATCCTTCCTCACAAAAGGAAGGGACAATGAGGAACTGGTCCACACTATACTAATTGAGATAGTGTGGTACTGACACTATCGATATAACCCAATAGACAGATAAAGGGAATAGAACAGAGAGCACAGAACCACACCCACATCTAATGAAACTGGAAACACAACAGTGGTGACATGAAAACCATTGAGAAAAAACGGGATAGTGAGCAACTGGGGCTGGGACAGTTTCCTCTATGTATGGGAAACCATGAAATCAGATCCCTGGCACAAATCACCCTTATAAATTAATTCCAGATGGACTAAAAACTTCTGTATAAAAGCCAAATCTATACAACGTTTAAGATAAAATGTGTTTCACCTTAACTGGGAAGAATTCCTTGAATAGGACACAAAACAGTACAACTCTTAAAAGTTTTTGAAAATGAAAAATAAACTCTATTAAAATTAAGAACTTCTGATTATTAAAAGGCAATAAATAGAGTGAAAAACAAGCCACACAAGGAAGAAAATATTTGCAACCAGTGATAAAGGATTAGTATCAGTGATATATAAGGAATGCTAAGGAATCCATATGAAAAAGAGAAACTCCGAATGAGAAAATGGATGCAGGCAGAAGAGGTCCTTCACAAAGGAGGAAAAACGACCCAAAATCTCCTGAACAGAAGACCAATCCCATCAGTAATTTGGGAAATGCAAATTAAGAGCCTCAGATGTCTAATCAATAGGTCAAATACACAAAAATCAAATACACAAAATGCACAATCAAATACACAAAAAAGCAACAATACCAAGGGTCAGAAAGGATATGAAGCAAGGAAAAACTAATACGCGGATGGGAGATGTATGCCAATTTCATCAATACCAAAGGATCATTTATTTAAGATATTCCATTATTTTAAATACCACTCCACCCCCCCCCCCAAAAGCCAACACAATGCTTTTTATCACCTGTAGGTTTTGTTATATATATTGAAAGATCTAGTTTAGATTTTTTTTTAGAGAAATATTCTTATCATATATCACTCTACTTTTGTGCATACAAAACAAAGAAAATAAAATAAATTGGTTAAGGAATTTCTAAATACGTTTTACATCACAGACTGAGTTTTTAAATCACTTTTGACTCAGAATTGTCTATGCCCATGTTTTTCCACGGAGCAGAGACAAGCCATCCCCACTCAGCGCTCTCTGAATTTCTGGACACAGAACCTGTGGGCATAATACAATGGTTCTTGTCTTATGTCACTAATTTGGGGTGGTTCATTTCACCGCAGTAGGTAACTGCGGAATGAGGTAACTCATTC